ATCACCCTCAGAATCCTTGGAACCTATGTCTTAATTCTTTCTGATGTATGTCAGCTAAATGAGGTTCAACATCCTCTCTATATATGAATTTTTATTCATGATTACTCTACATTTCTGGCTCTGACCGAATGGCTCTGGGATGATTAAAATATTTCCTTTGTTTCTAAAGCATTGGACATTGACACAGAATGCCAGAGTATTCTTTTCCCTTTGCAGCTCGTTTATCAACACCCCTCTGAGAGAACGAGTGAGGCAGGACAGTTCTGAGTGGCAAAAACACTGGATGGAAAGGGAGCTGCCTTAAGTTTCACCCATGATTCAGATTTGTTTACATTTGGTGAAACCTCAGGAAAAGTGGGATAAAAGCTTTAGTTCAATTGAAGTCATGTTGATAACCCCCAGTGCTAATAATTAACTCAATTATGCTGAATTAATTTGATGTAATTACTGGTGATGGTGCAAAGGCAGCAGCCCAGAGAAAGTTTGAGAGACAGGAGGAACAGAAGTCTTAACAATACAAAATACCCCATAAATAGCATCTTTTTTTTTTTCCAGAATGAGTCAAAGACACAAAGTGAGTTCATTACAGTCATCTGGCTTCACTCAACCCTCCAAATTACCCCAGTACCCAGACAAATAGCTGTGAAATCCAGCAAGTGCACTAGAATTAGAGCAGGCCCTGACGAATTTGACACAGCACTCAGCACCAGTGTCTGTCCCCATCCTATTATCTAAACAATGCAGATTTAATAACATATCTAAGAGATCCACAATGCATTTCTTTTAACTGAAGACATTAATTAAGAACATTTTCCTGTTGTACTGTTGTCAGTTGAGTGGGTTTTTGAGGAACAATCTGGAGGATGCTTACAGAGTCTTTTCATTTGATCTGCAGTTTTTATCTAGTATTTTCAGACTTATTCAGCTCAAAACAAACAAACCCCAACTATAAAAACCAAACAACTACCTTTCTCCTTCCCCATTTAATATTTCTGTGATTTGCTTTGAAAAAGTATGACAGAAATGCTTTCTTGCTACAAAAATACACACATTTTACCGAGGCTTTTTTAATGCTTATATACAAAAAGGAAAAAGGAGGCATAAATCAGATGTGGTTCTCTTAAGTCTTGGGAAGTTAAACAACGATGAAATAGAAGGAATTCTATTAATATCTATTAATGCTTGAAGAACCTACAGGACTGTGCCCTCCTCTCTCCACCCTGGAGGGAGCACCCCCTGTCGCACAGCCCCTGAGGGGCAGGCCAGGGGATGCCCTTACCCACCCAAAGCCAGAGCAGGCAGAGCCCCAAACCCTGCAGCAGAGCAGAGCCCGGGCTCTCCGTGCTCCCTGTGCCCCCTGAAGCCCTGCAGCCCCAGCACAGACCCCACACACTGCAGGTGGGGCCGCAAAGCCTGGGGAGACCTGTCCTTGTTTGCATCCAGCTGCACTGAGTGCATGGATTCAGCACCATGGCTGTTGGGTGCCTGTTGTAAAGAATTCAACAACTGACAGCATCACCATATTCAGTGTTTCACAGCCCTGAAGGACTGGTGACACCTAACCATGGAGACCTGGGTGCCCCTGCTCTCTGGCTTCTGTCTGAAATGCTGCTTGACTTACGTCTGTCAGTGCTCTAAATACACCAGCTTCTAAGCCTCTACTGCATTTTTATTACCCTTGATGACAAGAACAAAAATATTACCTCTAACATCACCAATTGCTTCTGAGGAGAGATTCCAAGTGCTTAGCTGTAAGAAATGAATACTACTTTTCCAATTTGCTAAGTAGGTGCTGCTCGCATGCCCCCGGATCACATCCACACCAAGTTCTGCTGGTTCTCAAACACAGCTGATCTTTCAGAACTCAGTTTAACTGCCACCAGGCTCTGATCAGACTCATCAGTTCCAAGCAAGCTCCATTACATGCATAATTTATGCATTTGATTTCAACAGATCATTTTGTGCCCAGTTCCAAGAGGGCAAAAAGTGTTTTCCATGGGGAAGCTGCTAACACTTTCTGAAGAACAATTTTTTAAAAATATTATTTCTGAAGAGACACTACATTTTGAAGTAGTGCGAGGGATTGTTTGAAGTCTCCTACATTTGTTTGGACAGCTACTCAAATTTTCTCTATGCCTACTTACCACAATCTCTTTGGTTTAGTGAGCTGAGTTACTGCTGGAAGGGGAGCCAAGGGGAGCCAAGCTCAGGGAATGGGCAGGCCCTGCGACAAGGCGGAGGGAAGAACAGCCCCAGGTGCTTCAGCCTGCACAGGGGAACAAGGTGTGGGCTGACACATCCCAAACCCACTGCACAAGGATCTGACAGGGCAAGGGTGTCTGCATAAACGAGAAGTTCATCAGCCTCTCCCTTCCACCGCCCCCTCCTCCCCCAGAACTCCCTCTGCCCACAGCCCAGCCCTCCTTTGCCATTCTGCCATCACTGCCTTGATTTTCCCTTTCATGGATTTTTGCTTGAAAAAGCATCACTGCCTCGATTGTCTATTTTCAGCCTATATTTAAGAAAACCCTTTGGTTCCATTTGTAGCCACATCCTGTCTCAGCCTCCCCCTCTTTTTGTTCCTAAATATAAGGCTGATGCAATTTGATGTGACATGACAAAATAGCACATTTGCATTGGCAGAAACTTTCTCTCAGCAGCAGTAATTAAAGGGAGTAGATGAGACATTGCTGAAATTGGTGTTTATTTAGCCTAGAAATAAAAGGCTTAAAGATGTCTTGAGAGGGATGTTCGAGTGTGTCATGGCCATGAAAAGTCATCGATGAGTGTTGCCTTCTATGGGCTTCTTTTCTGCCGAAGCAAACGGTCGCTCAAACAATGTAATCGATTTAAAGAGAGTAAAAAAATAAATCACAGTTCTGTAGACCATAGTCCTAACCAGGGAAAATTATTTAATGCGTTTCTTGGGATTATAAATAGTACCAGGACTCTTGTGGTTACACGTAAGACAAGGTCAGTCTACCTCCAACTTCAGAGCACAGGCTCTCTCAAAATGAGAAGAGAACTAAGTTCTCATTGAGAACCACGTGCTTAAGCACTAGGTGCCACAGTGAGAATTAGGTGCTTCAGCACCTGAATTTTTGATCTGAGATGCAGCAGCAGAGGATGGGTACTCACCTCCACCTACAGCACAGGTTTTGGTTAATTGTCAGACAGGAATCCAGAAATGGCAGCCTGAATGCTGTGACTTCAACAGGATTCACATGACAGATTAAAACTCCCTGTAGCTACAAAACTCATGAAATAATTGCCTGTGCCTGGTTTTGCTGAGCGGATGCACTGCAAACACCTGACAGGATTTGCAGGAAGCTGCCAGCTTCCTGCACTCTGTTCCATTAGGCATGGCAGCAGTAGAAGGCAGTGGTGGAGGAAGAGCAATGTTTGGAAGCCGAAGGGTTTTTCTTGACTTTTAGAGTGCAAGTTTAGAATTCAGTTAAAGGTCTGGTGGATGTTCCATAGCCCACAGGATTTAGGAGACATAATATGGTTCCAAGTGAAACTTCCTGCTCTCAGGAGCATCTCCCCTCTTTCCTTGTGCACACGAGGCTATTCTTCAACACCCATCTGTGATCAGCTCAAACCGGCAGCCCACGTTTTGAGCAGGCTCGTTTCCATCCGAACACAGATGGCACCAAGAACAGGGCAGGCCAGAAAAAAATCAGTTTGCATATTATGCTTCAGCTTTTATGGGTCAGATTACCATTCAAAGCCATCAAAATGGCAACCCATATGGGATGTGTCTGCCATTGGAACTGAAGTGATACACCATCATAATCTTAACGGGGTTGGTTAGAAAAGGTTTGATTAACCATTAATTAACCTCTGATATTTAAAAGGAAAGACATTTTCCTTCCCAACAAATTTTTGACTTTGACATATCAATAAAATAGCTTTAGTGAGTCAAAAAGGAAAAGACATTATCCCATCCTTATCCCTGAACAACTGCATCGACACGGCTCTTTAGCAGAAGGGAGTTCAGCCTCTGTGCCAAACATTCGCTTCCTCAGTGAGCCAGGTGCAGATGTTGGCTGTGTCATCTGTTCAACTTCTTTGTTCTACAAGCCAGAAAATTGTTCCCACAGCTTTGGGGGGAAAATGGGGATATGAAGAGCTCTTTGCATGTTTTCACTGATGGAAGAATATCAGCCGTTTTAAAGGCAGTCTTGTAGAAATAAGAAACGTGTCGTTAACACCTGTAACTATTAACTAGCAGAGAGCTGTGTCCTAAGGACCCTCAAGGGTTGCTACCACAAGATCAAAGCCATGGCATTGTGTTTCCAGCCTCCTACCCACCCTGTCTCCCTGCAGTGCCAGCTACAGCTGACTCCCTGTTCCAGGGGAGCATTATCCCAGATGCTGCAGAAGCCACGGTGCTGCAGGGACAGACTTTCAGGCTGGCAGGTCTTTCCTGGGAGAGTCTGTTGAACAGCAAAAGGGATTTCAAACCTCCTTTTACGCTATTGTGGCACCCAGAACTCAAACAACTACCATGCTAACTAAGAGCCAGGGCTACTGCCCTGTGTCATTGCCAATGGCAACATTCTTCAGTCACAAGTTTCTCCCCCCCTCTGACCTCTCCACATGATACTTTGGTCAATGCTGATACCTGAGGTGTTTATTCTCAACCAGATACAATACACACAGCAACAGAGATTCCTTCCACCATCCCAAGATTCCTAATCTAGTTGCAGTCCTGACAGAAGTACGAAAATATTGTTTCCCCTGGTATCTTTACTGGCAATTTGCAATTTGGGTTCTGCTACTGGATTCATCAGCATGGCTGGACTGCAGACAGGGTGTTCCTGAATACAAAAGGCTGTTCAGAAATATTTCCTGCAAACATGTATGGTCATAGATATCAATTTTGCACCAACTTCATTTCTACCGTTTCTTTATGATTTGGCATTTTCACCTTTTTCCCTGTGTGAGGTAAATAGGCTCCTAATGATTTCCATAAAGCAAACAAAAAAATCACTTACAGCATCCAGAGCACAGGAACTTTAATTATCTTCACAGATTAGGTCTGTCCAAGTCCAAAAGTAAGCGAGAGACCTGCAGAGAAGAATCAATTTTCATTATCTGCTTCTCCTCAAATCACTACTTAAAGTGCCATCAATAAAGAAGTGCCAAGAAGCCCATCCAAAGCCCATTTTATCCCCATGGAAGCTTTCACTTTTGTCTGACCAGTTACCTCAGACATCAGTGCACTGCCTCGACACGAACAGGTTGTTGCTTTCAGTCATCTACTCAGAGAAACTTTAATAATGATCCACTACAAAAAGATTAAAGTAGAGAGAAATTCCAAAGCACTGCAACTGAACCTTCAATATTTCCTGATAAGAGTTGCTAGAGGTAAAGCATTTCCCTCATTTAGAAAGGTAGTTGTGGTTTCTAGCACTCAGAACTCTGTACAATGACACAGTAATTACTTTACACTATTCTTTCGAACACATTTTAACTGCATGCCCACATTGTTTCAGAGTTGCACCCTGGTGTGGTTTTGGGAGGACTCTCATTTGGCTCATAACAGGAGAATTCAGGCTTCTGTTTCCCACCTGTCTGACCTTTCAGCGATCTGCACGAGTTTACCCCCTTTCCATTGGGTTTGGCCCAGAAAAAAAACTGCTTCAGACCCAGGAGACAACTGAGTGCACACAAGGAGCTCCTCTTTATGGAGCACTGACTGCACAGTGAGCAAAGGAAATCAACCATTCTCTAAAGTCAACACTGATTTGTTTATTTAGAACCTCTCCTAAGTTTGTTGTAGTCAAGAGAACGGATTGCTCTGACTGTCCAAAGACATCTGGATCAGGTTTTTATCTCAAATCGTCTTGCACAGACTTTGAAAAACTACTTGAAACAAAATCCTGGAAGATAACAATGACAGAGACTCCAAACTGATCTGTTCTGCCTCCCTTTGAAAGATGCAAGTCTTTGAAAAATCCAAGGCAAAACTCCAAACTCCATTTACAAACACTGGATCAAAGGTAACTGTTGTCATGGGTGACATTTTTTTCTCCAGGTATTAATAGTATCATAACTTGGTGACACGTGATGGTTGACAACAGCCTGGGATGTTCAAGTTTTGGTATCTAATTCCAGCACTTTTATTTGCCCTCTGAAGGCCATATCAAGATGCACACAGGCAGATTTCCTGCAACAGGCAATGTGAAACAAAGACCCAGAAGAACAGATGCAGCTTTAAAAGCTCATCCTGAGTCTACTGATGCTTTCTAGCTCTGGTACAAGAACTGAACACCAAAAGCTGCTTTATTTTCATCCATTGCCTAAATTTTCTTTTCTGAGAGCAGATAGGATGTCTAGTAACTGCCTTGGCTCAGTCCTGCAGAAAACACCTCTTATTGAGCATTGTTAATTAACATTTAGCAGATCCACATTTAGCTCTCCCACCAGGACACTCAGGTGCCCTTTCAGAAGTGCCCTGTCCTTCACTGTTAACTTTTAGCCAATGTAATACCCAAAGAGCAATGCAATTAACTTCTCCTTAGGCTGATATTCAAACCAGCAGTTACTTTCATAACTCACTTAGCAGAGCATCAGGCACCTTGGCTCAGAAAGCTTTCCAAGTCTACTCCAAATATGCCCAGCTGAGCTTTGGGAATACCATAAAATGGTTGCTCTATTTCATTGTTCAGTGATAAACACTGCTTAAGGTCTAACTCGAACTTCCACTCTGGAAGTAGAAAAGTCTTCTAAAGAAAAATTAGTTCAAACTCGAGGTTCCTTTGCACTGTCAAAGTGTATAAAGAGCACTGATGTAAATGTGAATTACACTCCTAACACAGTTACTAGCTGGTATAAGTTAGTTAAAGCCAATAATCCCCAACTTGCTGTGCTATTTTTATCTACTCAAAGCCCAGTGCCTTCTCTTGATCCCACAGTACAAAGCTGACCTGCACTCAATCCCTTCTGTGCATCAGCCTGGTGACAAGATTTCTGGATGTTTGTACACCACCACCCAACAGCTGCAGCCTGGAACAATGTCTGCACGGTATGGTTTATTTAAGAATATAACCTTTAAAAACAAACAATACATTTCTAGTGTGCCCCTAAAACACGTTTGAGAAAACCCAGGCCTGCTTACCATGTGCAGACAGACTTCCAAGCCAAATTTGGAGCCCTTCCTGTCTGTGATGGAACAACAGTATTGCTGTGCAACTTCATATTTATCCTTTATCACACATACTTGCCATATCCAAAAGGAATACACAAATGCTATATGTAAAATTTTAATAAAGGGATTGATTATCATTTACTAAAGGTAAGCAGGTATAAATCTGCTGTTCCTAACACGCCAAAACTTACTGATCAGTTCATCTTTATGGAAATCTGCTTCAGCGGGCAGACAGACATCAAAGCCACACACACAGTATTTTTCAGAGGGTTGCCAGTGTTTGTTTGTGGAATGATGAATTCCACGAATTGCAACATCCCCTTGTCTCTGTATGCCACAACCCTGCTTCCCACTGGTGTGAGAACAGGATCAGGGGCAGAATCGACTGACCTCCTGACACCTTTCTTCCCCAGCACGACCTGGTCAGCTTTTACAGGGAGAAACATTTCCATAATAATCTGGCCAGACTTCTCCCTCATTTGTTTGCAATGAAAGAGTTAATATCTGTGACCCAAATATAGAGACCCATTTTAAACTTGCTGAAAATTGCTTTTTAATCCTAGCTCTCGAGGATTTCCTTTGAAACCATCTGCCATGCACGCTGGGTACTCTTTGCCTGTATATGTGCAGGATTACTATAATATGGATTCTTTTGTGTAACTTAATACATTTCAGCATATTAAAAAATTAGTTGAAATTTCCATTTTTTTCTGATTTCAACTGTATGCCATAAAAATGATTGTAAAAGTCAAAACCACTGGCAAGTTCACGGCAAAGCCAACACCCATATTTATCTTATTTCCTGCAGTATTTACCTTGCAATTCTAATATTTAGTTAGTCTAACACTGTCTGGATTTAATCAAGTAGTTATGAGTTATTTAACTAATGCAACTCATTCACATGCTTAAAATTAAGCTCAAGCATTTTGCTGGACAGGAATGGATTTAAGCATGTGCTTTCCCATGCTTAAATTTCCCATCCTTACTTTTAAGACTGGAAGACACAATTAACACCATAATAATAGGAGATCAGAAAATATTTCCAAATATTATTTCAAATCTATTGCCCAGCTTTTTCTATTTTCTTGCTATGAACCTTTATGCAACTGTTTTTTTATAGCACAAATACTGAAGAGAAGGTAACAAGTCACGCTCCTAAAAAACTGAATCTTAAGATTGGTACATACAACCATATCTATTTTAGCAAACACTCAAAACTTAAACCAAGGCAAGTAGATTGCTTCCTATCACAATAATCACAGCCAGAGTGATTGAAATAGCAAACATTCAGCAAACTACATTTAGAATCAATTTACTGGATCAACCTATAAAGTAAAAAAAAAATTAAATCCCAGCACAATTATTGAGCATCTTCAATGTGAAATACTTTTTAAAATTGTGATTTGCCTGCAAATATTCAGAGAATAGAAAATAAGGAAAATTATCTATTTACACAGTTTTAATCACATACTGTGACACAAATATTTTGGGAGACAGACAGGCCACAGCCTGTGAACATCTTTGTTCCCTACAAACACACCTGAGTGCACCAAACCTGTGCATTGGCTTCATGAGCCCCCCGAGCCCTCACTCACTCACACGACTCATTTCACAGCCAGTCACCCAATATGTGACACAAGGGAATGGCAGTGCAGGATCCCCCACCAAAACATTCCCCTCCCAACCAAAGGGAGGATCCCATTCCCTTTGATGCCTTTTCCCTGGAAAGGAGCAGTGTTAGATGTGATTAATATACAGGACAGATCTACACATGCAGATGTTGGAAGAATGCAGAGAGGAAAAAACAAGCAAATAATTTTGTTTCAGCAGTAACAGACGTTGAAGCATCATCCTGCAGACACATTACTTTTAATACAATACTGCTCATAAAGTGAGGGGAGAGGACAGAATCAATGCCCAATTACCCAGTTCTTCCAGGTTTCCATTTTAATGAGCTTCCTGGATGATTTTGTTCTTTTAATTTTCCTCCTCTAATAACCCTATCAAATTAGTTTTGTCGAAAACATCAGCAAAAGGAAAATCAGCTGTCTAAAAAAATCCTAGAACTGCAGGTTGCAGGTTCTTAAAAACGACACGTTACATGTCACTTCCTTCTGTACAAAGGCAGAGCATTCCCAAGATCCCACAGCACTGCTGGGATTAGACTTGAGTGACTGAAAACAGCTTCATGTCCCGACACATCTGCTAATGGCAAATGGATAGGAACAGACTAACAGGGCCATGGCATTTGCAGATAGAGCAGTGCTGGAAAAACAACCACATGCAGAATAAATAGATTAAAGCCACCTTTCTGTGGCCAAGGGAGGGATTAGGAGAAGCCTGGCCTGCATTCCAGCTGTGAAGTAACCTGCTTTCCTGCTAGACTGAATTTGCCACTCATGTAATGGACAGTGCCACAGTGACTCCCCACCTTCAGTTTGGTCAGGGATGTGAGGAGCTGCTGACACCAGGGATGGCAGTGGGGCCACTGCTGGAGCCACAGAGCTCAGCCCTCCCCAGATGTGCCTCTTGGCACACACAGGCCCCACCCCAGCCCAAAGCCAAAGGAGCCCTGCACAGCCCTGCAGGGAAGCAGTGCCAGGGCTGGCACCAAGGCAGGGCTGGCACCAAGGCAGGGCCAGCAGGCACTGCAGTGAGGACACCCCAGGGTCTCTGAACAGCAGGGACCCAGGACTGGCCACCTACAGAACAGCAGCAATTCAGAGAGGCTGCCAGGAGATGGATGGGAAGACCTGGACACTGTACAGATCCTCTAGGATCTGCTGAGCAGCACAACATCACACTGCAAAACCAAGGCTTAGAGCACGTTGGAACAAGAGCCACCTCCTCTCCATCACTTACACTGGCACATAATGCTACTACAGTGGCTTCTGAAAGGCTCCTGTCACCTCCTGCT